ATTACATAAACTGTCCTTTCCTAACAGTATACCTTACAGAAACTATTCACTACAGAAACTGCCCTTTCCTTAAATTATATTTTCCAGAAACTGTTCACTACAGAAACTGTTTTGTCCTTAAATTATATTTCACAGGAAGTTTTCACTACAGAAACTGTCCTTTCCTTAAATTATATTTCATAGGGGGTTTTCATTATAGAAACTAACCTTTCCTTAAGTTATATTCATCAGAAACGGTTCACTACAGAAACTGTCCTTTCCTGACAGTATACCTTACAGAAACTGTTCACTACAGAAACTGTCCTTTCCTTAAATTTTATTTCACAGGAAGTTTTCAATATAGAAACTGTCCTTTCCTTAAATTATATTTCCCAGAAACTGTTCACTACAGAAAGTGTCCTTTCCTGACAGCATACCTTTCCTGAAAGAAAGACAAAACATATCATTTATTCCAAAGGAAAAAAACCGACGGCTAATTTCAAAAAACGTATAAAAGAAAAATACATCGTCTATAATCAAATCTGATCCTAAAAAAATAAGTGAAAATAAGAAAATAAGTGAAAATTAGTCAAAATAAGGAAAAATCACTTCTATGATAAGTTCATATAACTACTAATATCTTCATTAAGTGCCTAAAGTGAAAATATGTGCATTTTGTGGTCTTAGTAGGTTGCGGCGGGGTCGCGCGGCCCGGTCGTGCCCAGCGAACTAGCCCACTTCCCAGCCGTTAGAGCCAAACTACCAGGGGTAGCCAAAATGGACAACAGGGGTAAACTTTCAGCCAACACATTGGGGGATAACAACTCAACCCTCCCACCCAACAATTTAAAAATTTCCCCGGGCGTGATATACCTCGCCGCAGGTCCCTCGGGTCCCTTCCCTAACAACAAAAGCGAATCCTTACTTTGGGGATTGCCGGAGTTGTGATGGAGTTGGGGAAGTGGTTTATAGGGGTCCCAAACCTGCCTACGAACACTACCCTCCACATACACCGAGCCCCTGGGCTTAGGGGTTGCCTGTCCTAGATACGGGATAGAGGTATCAAGTTTTAGTTTTCCCCTGACCCAGAGGTCACCCGGGACTTTTTGATCCTCCAGAAGCCACTCCGTGGGGTATGTGTGCAGCGGGGCAGTTTCGGGCTCGTCATCCGCGGTCAAACACGGAAGGTCTGGCATCTGCGCGCCCCTAGGGACGGCAAGGAGAATCCATCGCTTCCACCAACACTGATCTTGGAGTGTCCGGCCGCTGACGAGTACCACCCGGGTTTGCCATCCATTCTCTTGTAACCTAGCCTGAGCGCTTTTCAGGCCAAGAGAGGAGATGGAGTCGGCCCATATCCCCTTGGGCTGGAGACCTTGGGCTTGTTGGGCAAGGCTGGACGCGGTGGCAACCTCGTCCCTTCCGACACAATAGAAAATGCAGACCGCCTCTTCGTCAGCCAATAGGCCGGGCTCCTGCATTTTCAAACCTCTGGACAGCAACTCCAAGTGGTATACGCGGGGCTCCGGGCCAAGCTCACAGCAGACAATGCCTGGCCGCAATGGGAATCGAAGCCCCTGCGGGCCTTCCGGATGTCGTCTCAACCCCAACTGCAGGGCGGAGGCTTGGTCCTCATGGTCCATTCCATCCCATAGCAGGGCCCGACGGGTCCATCCCCTGTCCAGCGTGGCAAGGAGGACTTCGGAGAAATCCTTTCGTTCCAGGTTCCAAGCTGATAGAACCGGCCCTTCTTCTTCCCGCGTGAGAGCGTCCGCGACTTGATTGTGATAGGTCCGGATATATTCGGCGTGCAAGCGGAAGCCTCCAACTGTCTCAAGTGCCGCCAGAAGTTGTAGAAGGAACCGAGCTGCTGGTGGTCCTGCGTGTCTTTTGGCTAGCCATGAGATAACATTACTGTTGTCTCCGGCGTAGATGACAATTTTTCCCTTCCAGGACTTCCATCTCAAACACGCCAACGACACGACGGCCAAAAGCTCAGCAAGCGAAATCATCAACCCGTCTCCGGGCTCGGAACGAGCCTCGGTGACGGTCGACGTCTCCTCCTCCGCAGCTGCAAGCTCCGGGTCGTGCTCGGCGCAAAACCGCCGGAGGCGTTCCCACACGGATTCCGCCGGCTCCACTACCGCCACGTTGGCTTCCCAATCCACGGCCGCCAACTTGTGGGGGGTTGCATCTCCTGACGCCCAGACAACTTTTTGACTCATTCCTGGGAAGGAAAGGAGCTCCTGGACAGTGAGGGCTGAAGTCAGAGGGTGGGTAAATCGGACTTCCCATTGTGAAGTGGCATCCACGAGCAGTCTTTGGAGCTCGATTGATTCCCAAAAACGTGCCCAAATGGCCTTCTGCTGTGCCACTGTGCCTCTAGGTTTCGCGAACCCCCTTTCGTCAGCCGGGCCCAGGAGGTCATTCGTCGCCCCTAAGTAGGGACTGAGCCCTGGAAGCGCCGCCAGCCAAAACTGCTGGTTTCCCCTCAGCTCCTGGACAAGACGAAGAGGCACATGGGTACACCCACTATCGAAATCAGGGAGGTGCAAAAGATGGTACGCCTTCTCCAGCTTTGCCGCAGAGAGGCTGCGAGTGTAGGACTGGGTGTCATACACCAGCCCCCATATCAATTTCCGACATTCAAGCCTACCTTCGAGAGCGTCCTTCGCAGCATTGATACTGCCCTCCCCAAGGGTGGCCTTTGTGACATATTCGGATAGGGCGACAGAGAGCTGCGGCCTGAAGCCCAACTCCGGCTCGATCAGAACGGTGTCGTCCATGAGAACGAAGGAATGGAAGGGAACGTCATCTTCCCACCGGTGATTGTCCGGAGCGAACGACCCGTGCGCTGACTTGATAACCCAGGCGAAGTGCATGTACGCACCCGGAGCACCACACCAGCCAAACGTCAAAAAACTATAAATCAACGTGGTCCCCTCCGAAGTCTGAGTGAATTCAGCAGGGACATCAGCTGCGAAGAGCTTGGCGTCTTCCAATTTGATGGGGATCCATTTGAAGGCCTCCGCCACGTCCTTTTTGCTGAGCAGGATCCTGATTCGGGGAAACCGAAGCCTCCACCAAAGGATCGCGCGAGCCACTTCCTGGTGACGTGGTTGCAACGCAGGTGGGTGGCGTGTTTTGTGGCAGTACTTGTTTATCGGGGGGGCGTCCCATATAATGCGGCCCTTTTCGGAGATACTCCGGTCTGGGTTCATCTTTGGTACACGGGCCATAGGGACGGAAATCACCCCTTCCAGTCCTTCTCCTTTGTCGTAACAAAGAAGGGACCGCCCCTTGGCGGCGTCCTCCCAAAGCTGCTTGGCGGCTTCTTCGATGTGCTCCTTCAGGCTAGGATGGGGGGCGCTTTGCACCCTTTGGGTCTCTTCCAAATCTGCTTCTGCGGAGACTCCCCAAACGGCCACGTGCCTGGCCCTCTCCAAGATAGCTGGGTGAACCAATCCTTCGAAAAAGTCGCTGTGAAGTCCCGCGAGGTGATCCCCGTGTGTCCGGACCCAATGCCGTCGAATGGCCCTCAGCGCCTCCTTCCATCCTCCTGCGACCTCCAGGAGTCTGCTCCCCTGTTGGGCCGCCTCGGCAAAGTTTTCCTTCGTAAAATCCTTGCCTTGGAAAAAATCAAGGTAGGCGCCCGCCGCTTCCTCCGTTTGCTTTGGAGGAGGGTCCTGCAGTGGCCCTCGAAGCCCATAGACATCGCTTTTGCTGAGCGAGGAGAGCAGCGAAGCCCCCGCCCCCCCCCCGCCCCAGGTGCGCCCCGGAGGCGTCCCCAAAGGGGAGGCGAAGGGCAGCGTGACCGGCTCGCCGCAAGCCGGCTCGGGGCGCGAAACGCGCCTCGGGGAGCAGGGCCTTGGCGACGGACGTGGAGAGATCGGTCGCAGAGGAGGGAGTAAAGACGGCAGAATCGTTTTAAGGCAAAAAGGAAGGCCAGGGGTCGGGCCGAGCAGGAGCCGCGCCCGTGGGACAGAAGCCAAAAGAGCGACAGCTGCCGGTTCCCGCCACGCGGTGCTGGTAAGATGGTGGAGCACGCTGAAGGTACCCCCGGACAGGGATTGAAGGCGGCCTAGGTCCAAGAGGAAGTCCAGGTGGCGGCGGCCACATCCAGAGCCGGGGGAAGAATCCTTGCCGCGAGACGATTCAAAACGGCCCCAGCCTCCAAAGGGGTGGAGGGGCAGGGTAAGCCAAAGGTGTCGTGGGCGAAGGAGAGTGATAACGGCTCGAAGCTTAGAGCGGGTCGCTCCACACCGGAGGGCTAGGTCGTCTTCAAGCGGGAAACGAAGAGCGAGGCCTCCGGCCTGCGTAACCCCGGTAGATACCGAGAAAGGGGGCGGTGCCAGATCAAAGAGATCAGGGGGAGTCCCATCAGGAAGATCGGCGCCAAGCCAGGAAGCCAAGTCCTGCCTAGACCATTGCGACGGGGCTTAGATGGGCTGGGGTGATGCTAACAAGTTACATATTTTAAGCTACTTCACAATTCATTACTAAATATATGCTAAAACCTTTGTAACCATATGTTAACTAGTTATAATGTATTATGAAAATCATAACTTTTGTTAACTGTTATGAAAAATTAGCTAATTATGTTAATTTAGTTAAAGAGTTAGCAAAGTTACTAACTGTTAGCTAATTTTTGACCAGTTATTTGCACACATGAATTTTAATGACTTGTAACATTTTGTTTTCATGAAAGAAGCAAAATGTTCATGAAGAAAAATCAAAAAAACATGCCATGTGCAGATCAGAGGCTGCCATGGCCATAGCAAGTGTGAAACTGCCATCAAAGAAGTTTTATTTGATTGGTGACATTCTTGTTGTTATTGCAAACATGTTGCTGTCAGTTTTGTCTGTGAAAAGCACTTGGTGCTGCAATTTCTTTTGTGAAAAGCACTTGGTGCTGCAATTTTCTTTAGACTGGAGCATTTGGTGAATGGTTTTGCCAATTGAATGATCTATTGGCTCTTTGGAACTTAGGGATTGTTGGCCCAAAAGTAGATTTCAGCAACATGGCAGAAGTTCCACCTGCAGTGGTGGAGATCACCCCTACTTTTGCTTTGTCCTTCAATGGTTCAAAGCCTGTTGCCATCCCTCCCAGCTTTATTGTGAAGGACTGGTTTGTCTGTTGCTGGCCAAATGCTTTAATCAAGCCAACACATTTTTTCCTTGTTGATTAATGGCATTGCTGTTGATTGGATAGCTTAAGCATTGCAGGACATCAATGACCAGAACTACTTGAAGATTCAGGGCAGCTCCCCTTTGATTTCCAGGTTGATTTGCGGATGCACTCTGAAAAGCCATTCCTTCTCCAATTCCACCACTTTCAATGAGTTGAAGCAGAAGAGGAACCACAAGCTCATGAGCAATGGTCAGAAGAAGCTCAAGACTGAACAGGTGGTTGAAATCACCATTGGCTCCACCAATGTATCCATCCTGTGCCCTGGGAAGAGATCTGCATCAGCAGATCTTTTGGTCTTGATGGACCAGGATCAGCTGAGTTGTGTCTTTGACTTTTTGAAGACTGATTGCAAGGACAATGGCAAAGCCAAAAGGTCTTACAAAAAGGGTGGCAAAAAGCACCAAAAAGATGAAGAAGCAGACTAGGTGCAATTTTGAAGCTGGAGCATCACCTGCTGGGCCCAAGAAAAACATGGGAAGTGGTGCTGGTGTGAATGATTCTTTGGGGTGCATGGTGCATAATACAAAATCAGCAGCTTCAAGCAATGAAGCATGCATGTTTGGATTTGCCTCAATGGGCTTATAATTTGCCCCAATGTTTCAGCAGCTTGTTGCTAGGCATGGTTGGGATGCTGTTTGCCTTTGAGGGCTTTTGCTTTGTATTGCAACTGCAAAGACATTTTTTCCTTCCATTTGTCTTAGCATTGATTCTGTTTGCCTTTGAGGGCTTTTGCTTTGTTTTGCAACTGCAAAGACATTTTTTCCTTCCATTTGTCTTAGCATGAAGCTTGGCAAGGAATGAAACTTGACAAGGAATGTTTTTTTTAAAAAACTAGTTATGGGATCACATGTGTAAGAAGCAGCCAACACAACACAAGAAAAACTACTAGTGATGGGGTCACATGTGTAAAGGACCAGCCAGTACAACACAACACAGTTTTTTTTCACTTCTTCCTGCCTGTGCCATGGCAGTTTCGCCAGAGATCTTGAAGTCTGTCACTGAGCTGCTTAGCCCAAGTTGCTCCTTGGGGATAAACATCAGGCTCCAAAATGTCATTTCCACCTTGGAGAGTGTTGGCCTGATCTACAGTAGCAAGCTTGCACCTGCTGCTTTCCTGTGCCATCCCCAAAACAGAGGCTCCAGCATGGTCAATGCCTACAATGCCCACAGGAAAGGGCATGACATTTTGCAAGCTGGTGTGAAGGCAGAGCTCTTGCCACCCAACTCTTTGGCACTTGAAGTTGCCACTGATTCCAAGCTCAAAGAGAGCCAGTTCAAGTTGAACAGGAAGATGGTTGCTGGCTCCAATGGCCTTCTTGCCCCCATTAGGGGGGATGAGCGCTTCCTCACACTGGCCAACTCTCACTTTGTTCAATGGGCTAGGGCCATGGACAATGGGTGCAAAGGGCCTGATGGAAACATTCTCATTGTCAGTTCTGACATGAAGCCCTTGCTGAAAGAAGGCTGGTCATGGAGAATCATTTCTGGTGAGGCTGAGAAGTTGTGGCCACAGCTTCCTGCATTTGCAGCCATGGCAATGAACAGCCACAACACCAACCAGATTACAAGCAATGGGTTGGAATGCATGATGCAACTTGCAGATCTTTACCAAGCAGGCATGAAAATGGATGAGGCAATCCTTGCTGTTGAACACAGCTCTCCCTCCTGCAAGAATTACTTGAAAGATGTCGCTTACTTTTGTAAGATGTACTGTGGTGGGCAGAACTTTCCTTTGCTGCAGTGCTTGGACCACTTCTGCAGCTTGGCAATGTTTTATTATGCTTGGCCCAAACCCTTTTGGTTCTTGAAGGATTTGTTTCTGGTGCCCTGTGCTTTACTCTAGCATTGCAGCTGGCAGGCAAGAGCTCAGGGCATTTCCTTTTGATTGGAGAGGAGATGATGAACCACTTGGCCTTCTACAATTTCAAGATCCCTGGCCAATCCATGGCCCTCACAAGGGTTGCTCTTGCAGCTTGCATGCTTTCAAGTAGGAAGCACCAGGACAACATCAGCAAGCTCGTCTACAAAAGTGATTTTGACAAGATGAAGGGAAAGGATACAACAAAGAAGTTGGATGAAATTTTGCATACTCTGTGGACAGAGGCACAAGATCAGAAACATGAGAAGTCTTTGGCCTTCAATGCTTTTGGCACTGCCTGTGTCAGAATGGTCTTGCATCTCCTCCAAAAGGAGAAGGCAGCCAAACAGGACACCTTTGAATCTTTCCAAGAGATTGTGCAGAAGTTCCAAGATGACTTGTCTGGAGGTGGTGTACCTGCCCCACCTGCAGCCCCACCTGTTCTAGCTACAAGTTCTGCTGGCTCTAGCAAAGGTGTGCAAGATTTGGTGAACTGCTCTAGCAAAGAGATTGCCCTGGTTCAGAACAGCCACATCAAAGTTGGTGAGAGGCCAGTGTGTTTCAAAAGAATGTGTGGTGTTTGTACATTGGTGTGTCAGTGGCTTTGTATTGAAAAGAAATACAAAACCTAAGAAGCAGAACTACATTGAGTCATCACAACATTGTCAGGTACATTCATCCTGACCATGAAGACAAGATCTTCGTCCTGTCCTCCTTGGAGGATACTGGTGCAACTTTTCAATACACCCCTCTTTTTGGAAATGCTGTGGACCTCACAGAAAGTTTGGATGCCCTGAACAAGTGGAGACCCACAAAGAAGGAAAATCGATCCCTGTTGGACCAGCAGCTCTGCATTCAAAGGCTTCCTCATAAATATGAAATTGTGCTGAAGGACATGGAAAGGATTGAAGTGAATGCTTTGCTGGTGGATGCATACAAGCAGAACCTTCCCAAAGATGATGCCATGATTGGCTTCACTCAGCATCCCTCCAATGTGGTCTTGCTCAAGAAAGCAAAGAAAAAGGAAATCACACTGTTTCCACTTGGGCAATGCAGTGCTGTTGCTGACAAGGATTTGCAACAAGTGCTGAACAAAGGCAAACAAGTGTTAGTCTACTACAATGGCAAGGCCTATGCAATTCAACCCTTCAAAACTTGGACTAGCTTTTAGAAGGCTGACAGTGGCTGTCTTTGCCCTTACTTCTTTGTGAGGGCTTGTGAAGATGAGGAAGATGCCAAGCTGGCAACTACCTGGGTGGATCACCAGGGATTGAAGATTCCTGTGTTGCAAAACCAGGGTCCCCTGGAGGCACACACTTTGCTCTACAAGGCTGATCATGATCCAGCTTGTGCGCGTTCAAATGAGGCAAAGCAGCCACCCAAGAAGAAAGCCAAAAAGGCTCAGGACTAGAAAGGACATTTGTGTGGGAAAAAGATTGGCAATGCACAATCAAGAAAGCTTTTATGTTATGAAAGAAAAGACACATGCATATTCACAATGAACTTGCCAGTTCCAACATTTGTTTTGACTAAACATATCATGTTCAGCCTAATGGGCTTTATTTTTCTTTTCTTCTTTGCCTCTCAGGGCTTCAGTTTTTCAAATGTTGGAACCCTATAGTTTTTTGTGTAACTAAATGGTCATATGCCAGTTGTTTCTAGCACCAACCAAGTTTCACAATCTTTTACTGTCAGGTGAATGAAACTCAATTTTATGCAGTTGCTGTTTTGTTCACTCAAGCTTGGTAATGTTATGTATACCAGTTCAGTTATCAGGATGGTGCAAGCTTTTGGCAGTGCTTTTTTAACAAGTAACAAACACCAAATGTTTCTGCACACAGCACTATATACATATGAATTTGTAGCCAGCCCTGTACCAGCCATGAAAAGGGAGCCTCCTGATGATGATGCGCCATGGAAAGAAAACAGGAAAAGGCCCAAGCTACCACAACCTGTGGCCACAAGGAAGCAGCATATGGCCAAGGCTTCAGTCCCAGAAGCAGCCATAAAAAAAGAAGAGTCTTTGATGTCATTTACAATGTAAAGGTTTCTAAAGAATTTTGATCAATTATGACTTTGTTTGCCAAGGATTTCTTCATGTGTTTTTTAAGCCCCCAAGGATTCCATATCTCATCCATTTTTTTGTGCCCTCCCAGGAGAACTCTCTACAGCATGATGCTCTTGGAGAACAGATGCTGGGACTTTTGGTTTCCTTTGCTCAGAAGATGGATGAGGCTGGTATTTTGCCAGAAGTTGATGAAGCTGCAGACAATCCCGAAGATCCATCAATTGTGAGCCAACCACCTGGAGCCACTGTTAAGGCTGGACCACCTCTACCTCCAGAACACTTGGCTTCCTCAGGTTCTAGTAGAGCAGCAGCAGCACCAGCATCTAGCTGCAGTTCTGGATGCCAAACCAGACCAGCATCAGTGCTGACTCCTCCCTCCAAATATGCTTCAGCTCTGCCATCTGCACCTTCTGACTACAACTATGGTGGACCCCAAGGACAAACCAGAGGAAGGTTGGTGTGCAGCCCTGAGCAAATGAAAAAGTTTCTATATGGAGATGGAGAAAGGCCCAAAGCTTCAGCAAAAACACCAACCACTGATTCTATGATTGAATATTCAGTAAGAGTTTCAACTGTGTTTGGAATGTGTATTTGTTTGCAAGTATTCATGGTGTCAACCCAAATCTTTAAATATTCTGGATTTATAAACTTTTGTTTTGAATTGCATTGCGCATCATCAGATTTTGCACTCAGGACCCTGGGTGGATTCCACCTGTGCAAGGAGGTGGGTGGTTTCGCAAAATTGGTGGGCTCCTTGTGGCTTGGAGAATGGGAGATGTCCACCGCATGAGAAGATTGCTCCAGAGGTGGGAGATGGTACCCAACATGAAGCTGTACACTGAGAGCTTGAAGGCCTTTGTACAGGCTCATGGATGGCCAAAGAATTTAGATGGTGAGTTTGGACTCAATGCACCATAGCTTCCTACTCTTGCTGTGAAACAGCAAGCATGGCTGGAAAAAATGTAAGTGATCTAATTTGATAGTTGGGAGTCAGTATAGACCAAATATCTCAAATTGGAATTCAATTTAAAATTTGAAGTATTCAATTCGTCATTTTTTATTTCAGTTGAAATGAAAACATTTTGGACTTCAATTTGAAATTCAAATTGAAATGAAAACAGTTTGGATTTCAATTTGAAATTCAAATTGAAATGAAAACATTTTGGATTTCAATTTGAAATTCAAATTGAAATCCAAATTGTTTGGGTTTCAATTTAAAATTCAAATTGAAATTAATACATTTGGATTTCCAATTGAAATTCAGATTGAATTGAAAACAATTTGGGTTTGAATTTCAAATTCAAATTTATATTACTTACTATATTTAATATAGTACAGATTTTGATGTACTAACTAGTTTTTATTTTACTAAATAGCCCTTGGGGCTTTCATTTTTGAATGAATCAGCACATAGGTGCTTTCATTTTGTTGTGTTACAAACAAGAGTTGCTGCATGCAAATCAACACTGCAATTGTGGCTCTCAGCGCTAAGCTTGTATCAAAGGATGCCTAGGAGGTGCTCCAGTGCTAGTGATGCTGCAGTGAGTGAAGAGCTTCGTTCATGGACAGATAGCTCTGGATACAGAACTTTGTGGCATGTGGCAGTGTCTGCTTCTGGCTGGGAGGACTGGCCACTTGGATTTTACATCCAATGACCTATTTACCCTATGCACACACTGGCTTCCAGTGAGTTGTATAAGCATTTGGTGAACCTCTCTACTAAGGAAAGATGCCTTGGCCTACTTCAAGGAGAATGATCAGCCAGGTCTCCTGCCTGGCAGCTTCAAGAACTATGTGAAAATGATGTACCTCATGGCTGGAGCTCAATGTCCACCAGATGAAGCCATCTTCTCCAATGATGGCTGAAACCAGTCCAGTCTTTTGGTAGAGTAGTGCCTGACTAGACAACTCTTCTATGGAGGTCAAAGCTTGTGCAGAGAAAACATTTTGCTTTGCAAGCAAAACTAGTTCACTAGCTTATTTTTGGGTTTTTGCTCATGGAGCTTTCATCACTTTTGCTTTAGCCCATGGGGCTTTGATCACTTTAGTGGAATAAACTAGTCCTGATTATAAAAAAAAAAGCAATTGGTTGCAAACACTAACATAATGTAATGTGCATGGTTTTAAATATGTGATTCAAATAAGCTTTTGGACACATACCATTGCACTAGCCTTTTGGGCTTTCATTTTAATGAGAAACTGTGCATGCATTATGCTAGCACTTTGGGTTTCCAGACCTGTAGCTCAATTCAGTTTAGCTGTGTTGGAGCTATGGCTTCATGGGATGTGCAAGATCTCCTCAAGGAAATTGCTGACATGGAGGTCGTCAGCATGAGGAACCCTGGCTCAGATCTTTTACCAAAGATGCAGCAAGCTTTGGTGTCCAAGATTGAATGCACTCAATTGATTACACCCTCCAACTATGTGAAGATCATGGATTGCTTGGAGAAGACTACTTTACCTGAACAGATCAAACAGGCTCTCTCCACCAGCTTTGAAACCAAGTGTGCAGCTGGTGTTCAAGGCCCACACACTTTGCAGATTAAACCTCAAAGTATGACTATGCCTTGGAATTACCTTTGCAGATCTGAATGGGGAAAGATTCAAGCTCAAGGGTGTACCACAATGGAAGCAAGCCACATCTTGATCAAGAGGGTCAAGCTTTGTGGGCTGAAGAGTTTGAAGGAAGACACCAAGAAGTTCATCACTTGCATGCTGGTTGCTTTGCAAATGCAGCTTGTGAAGACAGTGCCCCCCAAGCATGAGATGTACAAATTGGCACAATCAGTGTCCAACACTTTTGGGGCCATTGTTGTGGAGCCTTTGTTTGGTGGCTTGTGCCAGTACCCACCAAGCCCCTTTGAGTTGGGAGAGGCTTGTGTTTTGAAACATTGAACATGCCAATGTTTTCTTTGATTGTTTTTTAATGTTTCACACTGCCAGTGGAACAAGTTGCACACACTTCCATTTGAATGTTTCAATTTTGGTATTAAAGCACTTGCTAGCAATCCCCTGCAGGCATTCCTTGCAGCTGTCTACAGCCCTGATGACCTACCTTTGACACAAGCACCTGAGAATATTGTTTCCTGTGCAATTTGCATTGGCAAACAAATCAAAATCAGAGGCAGCTCCAAAGAGCTACATGCTCCAGTGGTAGCATCAGGCAGTAGCCAAGATTCTGTGGCAGCCAGCATGGGCAATCACATGGGGCACATGATGGCCATGGGCAACCACTTTATGTCACTTGTCTGTGACAAGGCAAAGGCTTTGGATCAGCTTTTGGCTTTGAAGATGGGTGATCATGAGCAACCAGTGCTTTTGAAGAGTGCCAGTAGCAGCACTTCTGCCAGTGATGGTGTGGCAGGCTTGCTGAGTCAGAGGGCTTTACCTTCAGCAGCAGAACCTGCTGCATTGCCTTTGCCTGCACCAACCGCCTCTGCAGAAGCAACACCTGAAGATGACAGCAAGGCAAATGATGTCAGCAAGGGGGGGCCCAGCAAGACCTTGGAGGAGTATGAACTTCAAGCACACCAAAGCCTCTCTAAAAGGAAGGCCAAGAGCTTGGACAAGTGCCTCAAGAGACCAGCTGCTTGCAAAGCAAAGCCTGGACCTCAGCCCAAGGCAAAAGCCAAGCTCCCACCTTCCTCTGCCAGCAAAAAATCCCTTGTGAAGAAGGGCATCTTTGGATGCCTTAGGTGTCGTGGAAACAGCAAAGGATGTAGCACCTGCTGGAACCCAGATTTCCAGGGTTTGCGTTTTTCTTCCAGGGAGGAGTGGGTTTACTGGAAGCAGCAGCAGGAGCATGGCAAGTGAAAGCATTTGCCTGCTGCCTGTGGCTTTTGGAACAAAGTTCAGGGGTTGGGGTTGCCTCTCTTGGCAAAAAACATGCAAACAAAAGCATGGACTGGTCTGATCTGACCTTCAGCTCTGTGGCAAAATTGGCACACAAACAGCAGTCAGTCTTAAAATTTTCTTTGAAGAACTTCCACTTCAGCTTTTTTGTGCTGATTTTTTTTGATAGATGCATCTTTTTGAAAGTTTGCTATTTGAGCTTTCATTTGCATATTAGCCTTTCAGGGCTTTCATGTTGAGTTCAAGAAGACCAAGTTTCAAAAAACAACTTTTGGCTTCTGAGTTGATGTTCTCATGATATTACTTTTGGACCCATGCAGCCTCAAGGGAGATCAAAACCATGCAGCTCCATTTGCAATCATGCACTCATTTATACAAGTGGCTTTGCATGCATAATTCCAAATACTTGCCAGGCAATGGATGTTGTGTTCAGCAAGCAAAGCACCAACACTTTGCTTCAGATTTTTGTTTAGGACCCTTGACCAATGCCAGACTTTGCAAATTTGCAAAGCTTCAGACAGAGGGTGCCTTTCTGTAGCCAATCCGCACTGGCAGCAATTCTTACATTGGCAAAAGAGGAAGGCATACTTGAGTGCCACAAAAGGAAAGATATCAGGTCCAGTGTCCAGCAATTGGTTCAAAGTTTGCAGCTTTATGGGCCATTGCTGATCACAATATCAGCTCTCACTGTGCTTGGTGAATCTGAGCCCTTGGTTTTTGGTAACATATTCAGCTATTTGGCAGGGGCCTATGCAGCAGGAGGTGCTTTTGCTGAATACTTTGAAAAAACACATGCAAAGTGCCCCAGTTCTTTTTCCAAACCTTGGAAGTGCATATTATATGCTGATGAGCTCCACCCAGGAAACCAGCTGGCCAGTGGGGCAAGAAAAACATGGGCCCTGTACTTTTCCTTTGCTGAATTTGGCAAAGATTTGTCCAAGTCTGACCTTTGGTTTACTTTAATGGTCAAAAGGTCTGAGCAGGTTGCTCAGTTGCAAGCCAACATTGGGCAGTGCTTCAGGCTGATCCTTGAGCATATGTTTGACAACAAATTTGCCCACCCCCATGCTGGAGTGCTGCTGCAAAGGGGGGCTTCAAGGTTGAAGCTATACTGGACTCTTGGATTTTTCTTCAAGATGGCAGTGCTCAAAAATTCACCTTTTCAAACAAGCAAGACAGTGGGTCCAGAGTGTGCATGGCTTGTAAAAATATTTTCAGGCTGTCATCCAAAGATGATGATCAAGGCCAAAAGGAGATGTCAAAATACATCAAACACAGCCAGCTTGAGATTGCCACTGACCAAGAGATTCTTGACTCATGGTCAAGAATGGAAAGCAGAGCCACTTCATGCAACAAGACACAGCTCAAGACTTGGAGCCAAGCAGCTGGCATTGATTGGTCTGAGAAAGCACTTTTGGCCAGCCCCACACTTAGGAAGCAAAACCTTTTGCAGCCCATCAGCCAATACATGCATGATTTTATGCATGGGCTGGCTTCCAATGGTGTACTGAATTGGATTACCTTTCTTTTGATCCAGGCATTATCTGATTATGGTGAGGTGGACATCTGGAAGCAGCTTCATGGATTTGTGACATTGTGGGTGCATCCAAAGAAAGGCAAGGTTGCTGTGCACAGGCTCTTTGACACCAAAGCTGTTGAATCTCACAAGAAAGCTGGAAAATTCAAGTGCTCAGCAAGTGAAATGCTGGGTGTTTGTGAAATTTTGGCATATTATGTGGAATTATGCTGCCTTCCCCATGGACTATGCACTTCAGCTTGTCAATGTTTCTTGGCTTGGTGCAAAGTGTTGAACTATTGTGTGGCAATTCCTTCATTGCAAAGGCCTTGCCACAAACACTTGCTTCAATTGGTTGAACAAGCATTGGCTTCTACCATCAATGCAGGTTGGTCACAGGAGTTCAGACCAAAGATGCATTGGGCTCTGCATTTCTGCGATGCCTTGAAGCTTCATGGCATACTCTTTGGAGTATGGTCTTTGGAAAGGAAGCACAAGGACATCAGAAAACATGCAAACCTTTTGTGCAACACATCAGCCTATGAAAATTCTTTGCTTGCTTCAGTGATTGCTGAGCACATCCATTCACTGGAAACACATATGGAATGTTTCAGAGATGGGTATTTCTTGGAAAATGTCAGAAAGCCAACCAAGAAGATGATGGACGCTCTTCAAAGCAGTGGCTTGCTATTTGTTGGTAGCAACTGCATGTGTGCTTCCTCATGCAGAGTGTCTTCTGGAGCTACCATCACAAATGGGGATGTGGTGTATTTACAATCAGCACCCACCTTGCCTTTCTGTGCTGGCCAAGTCCATTGCTTCTTGCAATTTTCCTTTGGGGAGGTCGCCCTTGTGGAGAAGTACATTGCTGGAGACAAGGCATTATCCACATTGGTGTCCAAGTGGAATGTGCCCACCCCAAGACAGTTGACATTTGTATCTTTGGAAGAAATTCTTTGCTCAGTGACATATTCAAGTGCCAAAGGCAATGTCACTTGTCTCACCCCACCATATTTGTTGGCCTGGCCACTCAATGAAAAAAAAACCTTGTGGCAATATGTGCCATGAAGATGTCTTAGGGTTCCTTTCAAGAGTGTTTGTGTTAAGTTTCTACTTGGTGCCTGTTTGTGCCAAATAAATTCTTTTACATTTTTTGTTAGCCTTGCAGGGCTTTCATTTTTGCCTTTGAGCCATACATTGGGCTGCCAGCTTTCATGGAATATTTTTTTTAGTTTTGATTTTTTGATTGAAAATTTCATGGTAAGTATGTTAAAAATGTAACTGTTTTAATTAGTTATAACTTATAACTAGTTAGTAACTGTTAGCTAACTAATCCCTTCCTCCTAATACTAAACGTCCCCCTAATACTAAAAACAGGCATCCATCTCCAATTTCCGAAAATTTCAGTTTGGCCAATTTGACTTTTAATTGATCCCCTTTAAAAAACAATTTAAAATCAACCTACCATTTGTGGGTTCTCCCCCCTAATACTAAAAACTAGTTCACCCCGGGGTGTTTAGTATTAGGGGGGCCTAGTCCCAATCCCTCACTCCAAGCTGCCTGGCTACTCTAGCAATTAGGGGTAAGCTTCGAACTGCCATTTTTGGCAATATTTTTAATTGCGTTATATAAGGAAATTTAATTGATTTTGAGATCGGAAAAAATAGTTTTTAGTATTAAGGGTTTTAATTTAGTATTAGGGGTAAGCTTCGAACTGCCATTTTTGGCAATATTTTAATTGCGTTATATAAGGAAATTTAATTGATTTTGGGATCGGAAAAAATAGTTTTTAGTATTAAGGGTTTTAATTTAGTATTAGGGGTAAGCTTCGAACTGCCATTTTTGGCAATATTTTCATTGCATTATATAAGGAAATTTAATTGATTTTGAGATCGGAAAAAATGGTTTTTAGTATTAAGGGTTTTAATTTAGTATTAGGGGTAAGCTTCGAACTGCCTTTTTTGGCAATATTTTAATTGCGTTATATAAGGAAATTTAATTGATTTTGAGATCGGAAAAATAGTTTTTAGTATTAAGGGTTTTAATTTAGTATTAGGGGTAAGCTTCGAACTGCCATTTTTGGCAATATTTTAATTGCGTTATATAAGGAAATTTAATTGATTTTGAGATCGGAAAAAATGTTTTTTATTATTAAGGGTTTTAATTTAGTATTAGGGGTAAGCTTCGAACTGCCATTTTTGGCAATATTTTGGTTCCCTAATAATAAATACCACCCTAATACTAAAAACTACCTGCCGTGTTTTGTATTAGGGGGGGGGGTTTAGTATTAGGAGGAAGGGATTATGTTAATTTTGTTAACCTGTTAGCAACACCCCAGCCCATCTAAGGGAGGGCTCGGTGTCTTCTCAAGCAGGTGCCCCCGTGCGAGTGCCTACGGGTGGCGGGGACGGAAAGGGATATAAGCCAAAAACGCCGGCAGCACGACCGGTGCGACGGTGTGGATCCGAATAGCACCGAGGGCAGGGTTTGGCGGCACGGGCGCGAAGGCGCGCCCCGTGCGTCAGAGCCGCTTCTAGGTGAAGTTCCCAACCGGCAGCCGAGACTACGCGGGCTCCGGTAGGCAAAGCCCGGTCCATGGGCGGAACGAGCAGGCGCATGTGACCTTGGTGGACCAGAAGCCAAACGAGTATGAATTGGAAACGGGATCGTCAAATGCCCAACTTTTACCACGGCAGCGCGGTATGACTCAAGGGCCCTAAAGCCAAATGTCAACGGGGCATGTGATCACTTGGCTATACAAAATATACATTAGACAGGTCAAACTCACACTCAACCTGTTCTTCAAGGATCACATGATGCTAGTGAAAAAAGTTGGCTCTAAGGCTTCTTCTGTACACGATAAATGCACTCCTTCAAAACGCGGATGATGAGGTCCGGGCGCATGCTCTTGGTCAGAGCATCCGAGACCATAGTTCCTGTAGCAATCCAGGTAACAATGTCTCCTCCGCCATGATGCATATCCCAGGTCCTCCGGCCGTCTTGCCAAAGTGACTCATGAATCGACCGCAACTCAATGCCGAGTCGTTTGTCTGCGACCCTGCCGAGTACCTCATTCGCAAGATGGTCTGTTAGAGACCTGCAGTCTGAAAGCATCAGTTGTGGAATACAGCTGCGGCTGTCATCCAACCATGTTTTCATCGAGTCAAGTTGGCCCATCAGTTCGGCCAATGCTCCACGTAGCTTGTCACCGCTCTCTTGTCCAGCCTGCAGTGAATAAGCCTCGCATTGAAGAGTGCTGCGGCATACTCGCCGAATTGTATTTGATGCAAATCCCAATGGCATCACCCTGTAGGATGTAGTTTTGGGGTCTTTGATCTCATTGATGTCTCCAAGGAAATGGAAACGACCTTGTTGTGATTTGTAATTCTTCTCATTTGAAAATGAAGCATCTGTCACTGTAATGATACCAATCCCTCCCCAAGTT